GGTCGCCGGAGCCCGGCGGGTCGAGGCTGCGGTGGCCGGGAGCGGCCACTGCGCTCCAGTCTGGGCGACAGTGAGACTCTGACTCAAAAAAAAAAAGAAAAAAAAAATTCAACAATGCTTTTTCCTAGTGAAATGTTCTTTATACTTTTCCCTATTTTCGAACTTCTTTTGCAACATATATATATCAGTTTTATTATTTTTAAAATAACTGGTTTTTTCTCCATTTCCTCCCATGTGTTTGCTCATCACTGCTAAGCTGGCAGGGTTACCACTGCACTTGACATTTAAGGCAGATTGACCTTGGCAGAATGGAGGGAGGTGCCCTCTGCCCACGTTGGAGACCTGAGCTTCAGTATCTCCTGTCATTTCCCTTGGGTGAGCCTCACTATTCTAGGCTACTTCTCTGCAAAAAAAACTTTGCAAACCGTACAGCTCTGAACCAACAGAATTATTAGATGATGACAATGGTGATGACGATTTGCGTCAGAGTCTCTGTTGCCTAGGCTGGAGTGCAGTGGCACGATCATGGTCACCACAGCCTCGACCTGCTGGGCTCAGATGATCCTTCTGCCTCTGACTCCCAAGTAGCTGGAACTACAGGTGCGTGCCACCACACCCGGCTAATTTTTTGATTTATTGTCGAGATGAGATCTCACCATATTGCCCAGGCTGATGTTGAACCCTTGGGCTCAGGCAATCCTCTCACCTCTGCCCCCCAGGTATGAGTCACCGCACCCAGCCAGAATTATTGTTATTGTTTACTGTTTATTATATTGTTGCCATCATTTCAGACCCAGGAGTTTTTATTTCTTTTTCTTTCTTTCTTTTTCTTCTTTTGAGTCAGGGTCTTACTCTGTCACCCAGGCTGAAGTGCAGTGGCACAATCATGGTTCACCATAACCTCAACCTCCTGGGCTCAGTCTCCCAAGTAGCTGGGACTACAGGTGCTAATTTTTAAAATGTTTTTGTAGAGACGAGGTCTTGCTATGTTGCCCAGGCTGCTCTCAGACTCTTGGGCTCAAGCAATCCTCCTGCCTCAGCCTCCCAAAGTACTGAAATTTAGGCAGGAACCACTATGCCTGGTCTAATCCCAGTATTTCTAATTCATTTGTGATAAAATCATCTCTAGACCCTTGCCACGCCAAGTATGGCCTTCAGACCAGGATGGACGGCATGGGCATCGCCTGGGGGCTTGCTAGAAATGCGGAACTGCAGGCTCACCCCAGACCTACGGAATCAGAACCTGACCTGACCAAGATCTGCAAATGATCCTAGGCATGATGAAGCTACCCACCTCCAAGTTTCTCCCGACTGCAGAAAACGTGGGCAGTGTGGGCAGTAGCAGCAGCTGTGGCCCGTGCTGACGCCCAGGACGCCCGTCAGGAAAAGAGCCTGGTGATCTCGACTGTGCCAGCATCACAGTCACATCCAGAAACACTGGTTATGGCTGAAAATCTGGGGAATGGGCAGAACCAAGCCAGGGACCGGCTCCAGGACATTACCCTGGAATCAGAAGACAGCCTCGGGGCTGCTTGATCAGGCTGGTCCTGGGCAACCACCGTCCTGCTACTGCCATTTAGGTAACCGGTTTAAAAAAAAAATCAACTTGAATTTTGGAGCCAGTTCTTGAGCTACCTGGGAGCCCCACTTTTGGGGATCATTTGGCTTTAATCTGGTGAAAAGAATCAGGGGAATTAACACCGCTGGGACGATGGGAACAAGCAGCCAAGGCGGAGTGTGGTGTGGCCTTCGAGTGGCCCCTGGACCATTTTCTCTCTCCCACCCCCATCCCCAGCCACCCACCCCTAGGATCTCTGCAGAGATCCTAGAGGGCTGCAGAGGCCAGGCCCTGTGTGCCGTGGGACAGGGGAAGCCAGGCTTCCGGGCTTTGTAAGTCCACGTCCAAATCCCTCCTCCCATGGGAGCCCCTCGGTCCCTCTGGAGGCTGCGGGTGAGGTCTCATCTCTGTGAGGCCAGCTGGCGGAGCTCCTCATCGGAGGGGGTCTCCTGCGGCCTTCCCCGGGGCGTCCCTGTGGCCTCACTCCCATGCACGGTCCACAACCCAGGAGGGTGGCCAGGGTGTTCCTTGGGAATCTGGGGGAGCCACACAGAAGGACTCACCATTAGGGCTGCAGTCCCGAGACGCGGCTCAAAATCCATTCAGCGGCCCCATGCCACCCTAAGACACCCTGGCATCCTGCCTGGACTCCCTTAACCCGCCTCCCAACTCCTTACCAAGCTGCTTCCTCATCCCCAGGACTCAGTTCAAATCTCACCTCTGAAAAATCTCCCCTGACCATGTCTCCCTTCCTAAAGCCACCCTCCTACATGTAGTGACTTTTGGTCATGTCCCATTACTTCGTAGTCACACTAGGCCAGGTGCGGTGGCTCACACCTGTAATCTCAGCACTTTGGGAGGCTAAGACAGGGGGGTTTCTTGAGCCCAGGAGTTTGAGATCAGCTTGGGCAACATAGCGAGACCTCGTCTCTTAAAAAAACAAGTTTAAAAATTAGCTAGGCGTGGTGGCGACTGCCTATAATTCCAGCTACTTGAGAGGCTGAGGTGGGAGGATCACCTGAGCCCAGGAGGTCGAGGCTGTGATAAGCATTACACTCTGTTCTGGGCAAGAGTGAGACCCTGCCTCAAAACAAACAAAACAAAAACGTAGTCTTGATAGCTATCACCCAGGTTACGTGCTTAATATGAGCGGGCCCTGTTTTAAGTACGTTACATATATTAATGCATTTAAACTTCAAAACAACCTCACGAAGTAGGTATTATTATCCCTGTTTTACAGAGGAGGGAACTGAGGCCCAGAGAGGTTGCATAGCTTTCCCAAGAGCCAGCATTTGAACCCAGGTAGCTGGCTTCAGAGTCATGTGGAATGTATTGTCGTTTTTCCTGCATTACACTTGGACGATTCTATTACATGCTAATTTCATGTAAGAGTCTGTGACTCTCCCACAGAAATGGAAGCATCTTGAGGGCGGGTGATTTGTCTGTCTTGTTTATGTTGTATCCCCGACACCCAGAAAAGAGCCTAGCACAGGGCATTAAATATTGCTGAGTGGGGCAACCCCTCGGATCGCCTCCCACTGTGAGAGCTTTTCTGTCCTCTCAATACACCCTGCTTGAATGAATGATACTAGCAGTGGACTCTTCAGGGTCACTTATCACGAAGTTGTGGCGTCCTCACGATTTCACAGCAGTGGCTGTCACTCTGGGACCCAGCAAAGAGAAGCAAATCCCGACCCGAGGGAGCCGCCCGGCACAGGGCTGGGCTGACCCACCAGGCTCCCTCCCACGCCATGACGCCCTCAGGTCCAGGACTAGCGGGAAATGCGCTATGAGCCTGGAGACTGTTTGCCAAGCATGGAGACGGGTGGTTACATCCACAGTGGTTCATGTTTACGAAATGGTTTACACTAGGCATAGTGGCTCACGTCTGTAATCCCAGCACTTTGGGAGACCGAGGCGAGAGGATTGCCTGAGCCCAGGGGTTCAAGACCAGCCTGGGCAACTTGGCGAGCCCTCATCTCTACAGTAAATTAAAAAAATTAGCTGGGGGTGGTGGTGCGTGCTTGTGGTTCCAGCTACTTGAAAGGCTAAGGTGGAAGGATGGCCTAACCCCAGCGGGTGGAGGTTACAGTGAGCTGTGATTGTGCCACTTCAGTCTGGGTGACAGAGTAAGACTCCCACTCGAAAGAAGGAAGGAAGGAGGGAGGGAGGGAAGAAGTGAAGAAAGAGAGAGAAATGGAGTGTTCACTCTACACCTGGCAATGGACATTCGGGATACACAGATGAGTACAAAGGCGCCAAGACAAAGGAGTCATGGGGCTGGGGGATCACAGGCTGAAGCAGAGAATTCTGCCTGGTGGTTGGGGGGGCTAAGTTCAAGGGTGCACAGATGGCCCGGCTCTGAAGCTGGACCTTGCAAGAGTGAGATTTCGACAGGCCGGGGGTTTGAGGGGGAAGGTAAGCACACTTCCTCGGAAGGGCTGACTTTCAGATGGTCTTCATCTTCTCTTCCTGAGCTCTGACAGATCCTCATTCAGGTTTGAGGATCAGCCTTGGGCGGTGTCATACAATCCTGTATTCAACTAAGGAGTCATTTTAGGGTAATTATTTAGATGATTCAGTTCCTCAGAATTTTAATCTAGTCTGAGATGTTTGAAGCTGCCAAAGCAAAAAAGGGTAGAAAGACAGTCTTGACTGGAGTTCCCCAATCTTGCAAATGTAGAAATCCGAAAGAACTGATCTTCAGAGAAGGAAAATACAGAATTGGATTCATGGAAACAATCATTTCACTGAGCGCGCTCTTCTTTACTTAGAAGAGGGAGTGCAAAACGATGAGAAAAAAAATTATTTCTTCCAAGTATAATCCACAAAAATGTTGCTATTCATCCAGAAGAAATAGTTTTCCAGTGATTTATCAGTTTAAGCTGCATTGTTACATCCTGAACTAACAAAATGTTTCAGAAATTAGCGCCTGAAATCACTTCTAAGTCTTAAAAGCTGGCTCCAATTTAAATATGATTCATGGGTCTTTGGAAAGTTAAGTTTTCAGGAAATATTAAAATAGGACTCAGTGAATCCCTGAATTAGGAGTTTACACATGCATAAACACCGTTTTTCCTGGCACACAATTAGGCTGTGGGCTGCCGTGTTACCTCATTTGAGAATGAAGAGGATACAGATGCCAAGTCTTCCAGGGTAACCAGAGAACTCGCAGGAAGAGGGAGAGCCGAGGTGTATTTGCTTCCATCAATTTTCTCCTTAACGTCTTCCAGAAGCATCTCCACCTGGAAGATCTCACCTTCCACTTCTCTAAGGAAATAAACAAACAGGTGTCTTCCAGGCTGCGTAATCAGCACTCTAATTAAAAACAGCAGTTCTGGAATAGACATTGATCTATGTTGCTAATGTGGCCTGTCTTCCAACAGGGTGAGGGGGTAATGGATACTGCCCTGCCTGGCATCCTGTTTATAGTTTCACTCTGAAGGCCTTGACTGGAATCCTCATTTGCTGTCCATTGGCTATGCATCCTTGGGTAAATCACTTAGCCTTTCAGGGCCTCCAATGTCTCAATTATAACCTGGGATAACAGAATCATACCTTGCTTATCTAGATTTGATGATTCAAGATTCCTTAAAGGGATTCTAAGAACTGTGATTCTATGAAATAATTGTTATGCCAATTAAAAAAAGAGGAAGGACAAAAATACACGAATAACTTAATTAACAAGTTTGTTCTAATCCATATGTGCGTATAAATATATATTTTACCCAATAAAGAAAATTCATTTTCTTCAAATCCATTACATTACAAAAATTTACCTTGTATTAGTCCACAGATAAAAATTACAACAAATTCCAAAATATTTAAAATTATATTACTACATTCTCTTATTACTAGAAGTTAACAAAAAGACCCCAGAAATCATTTAGATGATTTTAACACTCAGCTAAATAACTTTGGATTGCATAGGAAATAAAAATGAATATTAGGGATAATTTCTCAAGTGGACAATAAGTGAGAAAATAACATAGGAAAGCCAATGTAATACAGTTTCTCCAGCAGTGTTCCATGGAAAATTTAAATTTATAGTCTTAAAATGCATTAGTAGAGTTCAAAAATTAATAAACCAGGTATTCAAAAGGAAGGGAGTCATAAAATTAAGCAGAAATAAATGAAACAAAATAATTTGATCAATAAAATAAAACATGTTTTCTTCTAAAATATTTATAAAACAAGTCACTGGAAAGGCTGACTGAGAAACATAAATAGTATTAAGAATGAGAAAGGAAAAATTTTAAATCAAAAAGAATTGAAAAACTTTATATCAACACAGTTTGAAATTTAGGGGAAACGGGTAATTTATTGAAAAACATAAATTATTAAAATGTACTCAAACAGAGGTAAAAAATGTGAAAAGGCTAATAGCCAGAGAAAAATGGAAAAGATTGTGAAAAATCTACTCCCCAAAAGGCACAAAGTCAGGTGGATTGACGGGTGAGTTCTACCATGACTATAAGTAACATAATTCCTATGTTATTAGACTCTTCCAGAACATAAAAAGAAAAGAGAAAATTTCCCAACTTATTCTATGGTTCCACATTAAGATATGTATTAATAAACTCCACCACATTAATAGATTAAAGAAGAAAAACTAAATAAACTTCTAAATCCCATTTGATTAAGCATTTCCCTAAATTAAACAACCACAAATGCCCTAATTCTAGAAATCTAGAAACAAAAGGAAACTCTCTTGATGAGGTTTACCTACTTGAACCTACAGCAATCATATTGAGAAAATTCTCATTATTGTTTGGAGCATGACAATAACACTCTCTTTCACTTATATTAATTATCTAATTGCTCTTGAAAACCAGCAATAAAAATAAATGACAGATATAAGAATTGGAAGGGAGAAAAGAAAGTATAAATATTTAGGGATAAAAAACTATTAATATTTTCAGATGCTATGATTATCACACCTAAACATGAAGACAGTTAACTGAAAAATCAGCAAAACACGAAGAGCAAAATTGCATAAGGTAGCCCAGTACAAGTTAAATACACAATTTTCTATATTTCCTGCATATCAATGAAAGAAAACATCTATGAACAAACTCAGAAAAACTATAAAATAGCTAGTAATAAACTTAACCAAAAAAGTGTAAAATCTACATGAAGAAAACACATTTCTGAATAGAAATACTCACTGCAAAGATATTTAACTCTTCCTAAGCTAATCTATAACTCAATGCAATCCTAAACAAAATTCTCATGAAAATGTATTAAGGAAATTTGGTGAGTTGATTATAATGCTTATTGGTAAGAGGAGAGTGCAAGAATAACTGAAGAAATTTTTTTTGTACGTTTGTTAAATTTTAAATATGTGGGGTACAATTCAGGCTTAGGTATACAAATGTTCACTATGCAGGTACCCTTATTGATGAGGTGAAAAATTTTTTTAAAAAGAAACATTCCAAAATATCAGCCTAGACAACATAGTGAGAACTCATCTCTAAAAAAAATCAAAAAATTAGCTGAGCGTGGTGGTGCACACCTGTATTCACAGTTACTCAAGAGGCCAAGGTGGAAGTATCACCTGAGCCCAGGAGGTCTAGGCAGCGGTGAGCTGTGAACGTTAACTGCACTCCAGCCTGGGCGACACAGTGAGATGCAATTCAAAAAATATATCTATATACTAAACATTAATTTTAAGCGGTGTGGATAATATAGAAATAGAAATATAGATCAATGGGATGGAATAGAAGGAGTTCCACAATACACGTGGGTTTTGTATCTGATGAAAGTGGCTTTTTCAACCAGCGGGGGAAGGCCTCCCTATTCAACAAGCGATAGAACAAAACTCTGAGCATGAAAAGCCAAAGTGATCATCTAATAAAACATAGGAAGATTTGTCATAATCTAGCCGTTAGAAGAGAAAGAAGCAAGGGACAGACTGGAAATTTAAGAGAAAGAAGTGAAATGATGAAGCAAGACCCCAAGAGAGTTGAAGAGGATGGACCGGGGTCGTGACCAGAAGGTTGGAGAGAGGAGGGGAAAGGAGGTGACATTGTCTCTATCTGGAGATGGAGGATGGACATTTTTGAGGGAATTCATGATCTTTTCTGTAAAGCAGGAGACCAAAATTGAATTTGAGATAATTGGGAAAAGGGATTCATGGAAATAGAACTCAATTTCTTTCTTTTTTTGGAGTCAGAGTCTCACTCTGTTGCCCAGGCTAAAGAGCAGTGGCATGCTCACAGCTACTGCAGCCTCGACCTTCTGGGCTCAGGTGATCCTTCCACCTCAGCCTCTCAAGTAGCTGGAACTACAGGCATGCGCCATCATGCCCGGTTAATTTTTTTTGACTTTTTGTAGATACAAGATCTCCCCAAGTTGCTCAGGCAATCCCCTCAGGCAATCCCCTCACCTCCACCTCCCAAAATGCTGGAATGACAGGCTTGAGCCACCCTGCCCAGTCGAACCCCATTTCTTGACTGCTTAACTTCCAGTGCTAGTACTCGAAAGAATCAGATGACCGTGGACTACATTTTGACAAGCAGGATGCATGAAATTAAAATATTTTTGCCTATCACTTTTTTTTTTTTGAGTCGGAGTCTCACTCTGTCACCCAGACTGGAGTGCAGTGGGACACCCATGGCCACCCCAGCATCGATCTGCTGGGCTCCGGGGATCCTTCCACCTCAACCTTCCAAGCAGCTGGAACTACAGGCATGAGCTACCACACCAGCTAATTTTTTGATTTATTGTAGAGACGAAGTCTCACCGAGTTGCCTGGGCTGGTCTCGAACCCACAGGCTCAAGCAATCCACTTGCCTCAGCCTCCCAAAGTTCTGGGATTACAGGCTGAGCCACCGAGCCCAACCACTTATTACCTTTTAAGGATAATAATATAAAGATTTTAATAAGAGCACAACCAGTAAAAAACAAGTGATTAGTCGATGAATTTGCCAGATTCTTGACCCTACAGAAAGCCATCATCCATTAGCCTTTGGACTGAACACTTAGAAGGTTCTGGACATATCAAGACCCCAGGGGTTGTGTGGGGTTCTGCTCATTGCCATGTGATGCTCATTTGACAACAAGAGGGCCAGTGTCCAGCTGATCAGCCTTCGCTTGTCCTGAGGTGGCTTTAACTGAGTCATGGGAAAGGCTGGGTCCCTCCCTTGTGCTGACAGCTTCTCCCGTATATGGGATATAATTGCAGTTGAAAGTCTTGATTTATACTCGTGCCAGGCGCAGTGTGGTTGTAACTAGGATACAAATAAGACATTGCATAACTTGGGTCTTCATGTGCACAGAGGACTGTCTTTAACACGACAGCCAAAACAAGAGATTCCTTGGAAAAGAGATATCCTTCCTTACTATGTTAATTTTAAAACAAATAGCAGTAGCATGAGGATAACTTTCTTTTTTCCAGAAAAAAAAAAGCTTTGGAGAAAAATCAATATTAAAACCCCATTCTTGCTGCCTCATAACTCAGTCTTGAAATAAAGGTATACAGAGGTTTCATTCATTTTGAAAAGGTAAAATTATACCTTGGGGAAAAAAAATACCACAGGACCCTAATGTTGAAATATAAACCATTAAAATATTTTGGCATCAATAATAATTACATGTTAAAATGCTATGAATAGAAAGACCTGAATTTACAAATATTAAGCCTACTAAATAGATTCTGTTAATTCATACCAGGAAATGATATGGAATCAATCCTATCCTTGAATCCTGGAATACATTTTGAGATTATTCTGGAGTGGAGGGAGAAACATGGTCCATAGAAATCACCTACTGGAATCTTCGATTTGGAGTGTATTCTAGTTCTTTTTTTCTTTCTTTTTTCCTTTTTTTGAGTCAGAGTCTCACTCTGTCACCTAGGCTGGAGTGCAGTGGCACGCTCATGGCCACTGCATTCTCGACCTGCTGGGCTCCAGTGATCCTTCTGCCTCAGCCTTCTGAGTAGCCGGAACTACAGGCGCACACCACCATGCCCGGCTCATTTTTTGATTTATTGTAGAGACAAGGTCTCACCAAGTTGCCCAGGCTGGTCTCAAACCCCTGGGCTCATGCAATCCCCTTGCCTCTACCTCCCAAAGTGCTGGGATTACTGACGTGAGCCAGTGACCCCTGCTGTCCCAGTTTCTAATGTGAACTAATTCACGTGTCATCTAATTTCAAGCTTCTACATTTTTCTTTTATCAGCATTTGTGGACCCCTCACCCCAACTCTAATCAAGCTTGCGGTGATTCTTTCCTGTCCGCTCCCCTCAGAATGATTGGTGGACGGGACAGAAAAGAGGACACACGAGAGACAGAAGAGGAGAAGCAGGTAGGGCAGTGAAGGCAGGGGCAGGGAGAAATGGGCGAGGAAAACGCTGAGAGGGAGGGGAAGAACTTGGCGGGAAGGCCCTCTGTGGCTAGTGTGTGAACCATTCTAGAGTTTTCCTGGGCTCCTCTGGATCTCAGAACTAATAATAACGACATCCAACACAATGCAAGATGGTGACGCAATGCCTCTGCCCCAGGAGACAGTTCGTTTCGGGTGCCCCCTCTGGGTCCATGCCTGGCACTGCGCCTTACACCCAGTGGGACCTCCACTCTCCCCATGGCATGAGGTGACACTTGTTCATCAGTGACACTGTGTTTGCTGACCCCAAACCAGTGGCTCTCCCAGCACTAAGGCAGCAGCCACATGGGAATCCCACCTGAAGGAGGTCACCTTTGACCCCTCCATCTTACACGGTGGGTTTAAACCTGACCTTTCTGGATCAAAGTCTCCCACAACTGCAGATTCGTGCCTATGGTCTTGTTGCTGCAAAGTCAGATGCTGGTCCTTCGTGGCCAGGAATGTCTGCTCCAGCAGTTTGAGACGTCCCTGCAGTTTCTCCAGCATCTGCAACAAGAAAGTCACCGGAATCATCCACGTGCAAGCCTGTTCATGGAGTTTTCTCAAAAACACGGTGCAGGTGTATCCTACAAGAAGTGCCAAACGAAGCCACCATCCTTCCCCTGGCAGCGTCAACTGTTTTGTTGCAGTCTGACATCTAAAATATGAGGGGGAGCCCAAAACTGGAATTATTACTTGGAGGGCGGGCCCCTTGAAGCACACTCAGAATTTGTCCCTCTGGATCAAATGACCACCAAAGATTTTATCTGGAAATTTTAAGAAGGTGGTGTCACAACTGGGGGAAGAAATGTCCCGAGTTGTGGCAAACAGACGACTGGTTCTTTCACCACGACACTGTACTTGCCCACACAGCGCTGAGTGTTCCGCAGTTTTGGACCCCAAAAAGCATGGCCCCGTGTCCCACTCTTCCTATTCACCTGATCTCGCCCCGAGCAGCTTTGTTTTTCTGGGTGAAAAAAGTCCTCAAAGGGAATGGTTTGCCGATGTGGAAGAGGTAAAACAAAAAAAGGCAGAAGTACTAAAAGGCATCGACATTGATGCATTCAAAAACTGTTTTGAGCAGTAGAAAAACCATTTCAATAGGTGTATTGCATCAAAAAGAGAGTACTTTGAAGGTGACTGAAGTTTAAACATGTAAGGATGAATGCACAATATTTTATAAATAAATTCCAGTTCTTTGGGTCCCCCCTTGTACAGACAACCCAAGGCCCCCCTAGACATTTCCAGCACCCTCCCAGCACATAGCTGGAAAGTGCAATGGCTTCTGGCTTCTCTCTCAGAGGCCTCGGGTCTTCCTTAGCAGGACGGTTGTAATCCTGTGTTTGCAGAATGATTTTCAGCTTACAAAGCACTTTCCTACTTCCCATCTGATCTCATTCCCACATCAATACTGAAAATGCTTCGAAGCAAAGTTTGTTATCCTCAGTCTTAGAGAGTAGGAAATTGGAACTTATGAACACGTCTAAAACCACAGAGATCTTACAAAGGAACTGGAGTTGGAAGGCCTGAGTTTGCGTCTCTGGGGATTTGGGGGGTGTAATGGGGAGGGAACAACTGGAAATTTTGCCAAAGCTGTAAATGGGTCTTCCAGACACCACACATGCAGCCTCGTGCGGATGCAAGTTTAAAAACAGGCCAGGTTGGCTGAGACGGAAGGATCGCCGGAGCCCAGCAGGCGAGGCTGCGGTGGCCGGGAGCGGCCACTGCACTCCAGTCTGGGCGACCGAGTGAGACTCCAACTCAAAAACAAAAAACAAACAAACAAAAAAAACAGGCCAGGTGCGGTGGCTCAGACTAATCTCAGCACTTAGGGAGGCTGAGGTGAGAGGATTGCCTGAGTCTAAGGGTTTGAGACCAGCCTGGGCAACTTGGCAAGACCTCATCTTTACAGCACTGAGCCAGATGGGCCTCGAATTCCCAGACTAGGGCTAACACTGTCCCAAGTCACCCTTCCCTCCTCTCAGTCCCAGTAGGGATTCCACTGACCCTCTAACATCAAGAATAATAAATCACACACACACAAAAACCCTAGCCAGACATGGTGGTATGCGTCTGTAGTTCCAGCTATTTGGAAACCTGATGTAGAAGGATCACCTAAACCCAGCAGGTCGAGGCTGCCACGGCACTCTAGTCTGAGCGACAAGAGTGAGACTTCACCTCAAAAAAAAAAGACGTTTAAAAATAGTGCTGACCAGGGTCATGTCTTGAGGGTGTACGGATGGTTGAGCCCCGACCCCGGCTGCTAAACATTCCCTGAGCACTGCCTGTGTCTGGTCCTGGGCCAGATGTCTGAGACACAAAAATTGTATCGGGCACAGTTCCTGGTCTTAGAGATTTTATTCTACTGACGAAAGAGACTGTGGATGAGACTGTTTTGCCAGTTTTCATTGGAGGGAACAAAGCTTGAGGCAGGCTTACCGGATCATCGGGAGGGCCTGAACCTCATGAAAATGGAGAGGAAGCCGGGGCTCGGTGGCTCAGCCTGTAATCCCGCACCTTTGGGAGGCTGAGGTGAGTGGATTGCCTGAGCCTGCGGGTTCGAGACCCAACTGGGCAGCGAGACCTCATCTCTACAATAAATCAAAAAATTAGCCGGGCGTGGTAGCGCGCGCCTGTAATTCCGGCTACTTGGAAGGCTGAAGCAGAAGGATCGCCGGAGCCCAGCAGGTCGAGGCTGCGGTGGCCGGGAGCGGCCACTGCACTCCAGTCTGGGCGACAGAGTGAGACTCCAATTCAAAAAAAAAAGAAAGAAAATGGAGAGGAAGAGATGGTTGGAGAAATATTGCTTAGGGCAGAAATATGGCACCGTGCGGTTACAGGGTCAGATGCCACAGGGCTCAAGTTCAGACTTTGTCACTTGTTCATTGTATGACTTTAGTCAACTTGAACTCTCTAAGCTTTCATTTTCTCATCTGTAAAATTAAGATAATGGCCCTAACCCCGTATGATGAAAATTGCTTGATGCCAAGAGTGTAGTACACACCCGCCAGGTGGGAGCTGCTATTATCAATTCTTATTCACCTCAACATGAACAAGCAAGAGTTCAGAAACATATTGGCTATAGAGTACAAAGAATTGGCAGGTGTGAACTGGGCACAGTAGCTCACGACCATGATCCCAGCACTTTGGGAGGCCGGGGTGGAAAGATTGCTTGAGTCCAGGAGTTCAAGACCAGCCTGGGCAACATAGCAAGAATTCATCTCTATGAAAAAAATCCAAAAATTAGCTGGGCATGGTGGTACACGCCTGTAGTCCTAGCTACTCAGGAGGTTGAGGTGGAAGGATCGCTGGAGCCCAGGAGGTTAAGGCTGCGGTGAGTTGTGATGGTGCCACTGCACTCCAGCCTGGGCGACAGAGACTCCAACTCTAAATAAATAATGTATTTAAAAAATAACTCAGAAGATGATAAGGCACAGTTTTCTAGGCATGGATGTACTTCATTTAACTCTCGCATGCTACAACGTGTGTAGGTCATATAACTAGTAAGTAGAACTAGCATGTCTGCTCCAGAATCGACGCTTCTTGCCCCATCATGCCGCGCCAGCTGAAATGGTTGCTTTCAGCCCCATCTGGCTTCTTCCAACACTGAGTCAGATGGGCCTTGGGCTCCCAGACTAGGGCTAACGATACCCAAGCCACCCTTTCCTCCTCTCAGTCCCAATAGGGATTCCTCCTGACCCTCTAACATTGAGAAGAAATTTCCAGAATTGAGGCCTCTGAAGGCTAGTGCCTTGAACCAGATTCCTTCTGCTTTGCTGGAATCTTTAAAATCCTGTGGTCAGGCCAGGTGCAGTGGCTCATGCCTGTGATCCCAGCACTTGCAGGAGGCAGAGGCGAGAGGATTGCCTGAGCGCGCGAGTTCAAGACCAGCCTGGGCAACATGGTGAGACTTCATCTCTACGATAAATCAATTAGCTGGGCATGGTGGTGCACACCTAGAGTTTCAGTTACTTGGAAGGCTGAGGTGGAAGGATTGCCTGAGCCCAGCAGATTGAGGCTGCGGTGGCTGTGAGCAGTGTGCCATTGCACTCCAGCCTGGGAGACAGTGTGAGACTCTGACTCAAAAAAAAAAAAAAAATCCTGTGATCTGCTTGGCCTTGGGGAGATTTCCTGTATCTGTTGTTGACTCTTTCACCCTTGCAGCCAGGCAGGCTTCTTTGAAACCAGGCTAGCCAAGGGCACTGATGACGTGTAGACCCAACATACACCTTAATTTCCTCTCTTCTTGAACATTCAGTGGTGTGGCCCACTCCCCACTTCTTTTGTTTTTTCCTGAATCAAACTCTGTCACCCAGGCTAGAGTGCAATGGCACAATCACGGTTCACCACAGCCTCGACCTCCTGGGCTCAGGCGACTCTCCTGCCTCAGCCTCCTCAGTAGCTGGGACTACAGGCACACACCACCACGCCCAGCTAATTTTTGTGTTTTTTATAGAGACGGGGTCTCACTATGTTGCCCAGGCTGGTCTCAAGCTCCTGAACTCAAGCAATTCTCCCATCTAGGCTTCCCAAAGTGTTGGGATTACGGGAGTGAACCACTGTGCTCTGGCCCCTTCTTTTTTTTTCTTTTAATTTTAAAGATGTGGGGTACAGTTCAGCGTTAGCTATACAAATGTTCATTGTGCAGGTCCCTTGTTGATGAGGTGTGCCCCCTCTTCCCCAGGCAGATTCCCACTACTGCTAATCCCACCTCACCATCCCCCCAAGCCCCCTCACGGTTTCCTGCTACTGTCAATCCTTTTCTTACAGTATTAGGATAGTTGTTCAAGGACCGCTTATGAGTGAGAACATGTGACACTCAGTTCTTTCTTTCTGTGAAAGATCACTCAGTATTATAGACTCTAAGTCCATGCAGGTTGCTGTGAAGTTCATGATTTTGTTCTTCTTTATGGCTACGTAATATTCCATCGTGTATAGGTACCACATTTTTTTTATCCAGTCCTCTTTTGATGGGCAGCATGGTTGGTTCCATGTTCTTGCTACGGTGAACAGCGCTGCGATAAACATATGTGTGCAGGTATCTTTTTTATAGAGTGATTTGAGTTCTACCGGGTATATTCCCAGTAGGGGGATTGCCGGGTCGTATGGAAGGTTGATTTTTAGATTTTTTAGAAATCACCACACTGTTTTCCACAGAGGCTGTACTAGTTTACACTCCCACCAACAGACACACCCTCCTTCTTAAAACCCTCTTTTTGGCCATCACCTTACTAAACTCTGGCGTGGCCATGTGCTCTTTGAGCTATGGCTGTTGCCATCTTCCTGGCTTTGGCCCCCTTCCCTGCCTTGGGGAGGTGAATTTCCTCTTACTTTCTCTCTCTCTCTCTCTCTCTCTAATTTACTTTTTAAATACACTGTATTTTCTTTTTTTTTTTTGAGTTGGAGTCTCACTCTGTCGCCCAAACTGGAGTGCAGCGGCCGCTCCTGGCCACCGCAGCCTCGACCTGCTGGGCTCCAGCGATCCTTCCACCTCAGCCTTCCAAGTAGCTGGAACTGCAGGCGTGCGTTACCATGCCCGGCTGATTTTTTGATTTATTGTAGAGATGAGGTCTCTCCAAGTTTCCCAGGCGAGTCTCGAACCCGCGGGTTCAGGCAATCCACTCACCTCAGCCTCCCAAGGTGCGGAATTACAGGCTGAGCCACCAAGCCCGGCTTAAACTGTATTTTCTAATCTAAATCAAAAACAAAAACAACCCTCTTTTCTCCTGGTGTCTCCAGCTCTGCTCCTCCTGGTCTGCCTTCAGCCTTTGGGTCCTCGCCTCATCTCACCTGCCCTTTGTTTCCCGTGAGTCTCCCCAGAGCAATCTTGCCCACCCCATACCTTCAGCCCACAACAGTGCCCAAATCTACATTTCTGGCCCAAAAACTCTGAGGGCCAGACCCATTGCTCTGTCTTCCACGCCTCTCCACTGGGACGTCCTCCGGGGACCTCAGACTCCAGATGTCCCAAACTCAGCTGGATGTCCTGCCTCCTGCTCGCCTTCCTCACTGTTCGTTCCAGAAATCCAGCACGTCGCCAGGCGTCCTTCCTCCTTTCACTCACCCCTTTCCATCTGCTGCCACCCCCTTACTGCCCGCTTCGGTTCAGGCCCTCGTAACTGGTCCTGGATTGCGGCTTCTCTCTGTTCCCCACAAACAGCCTCTCTGTTCCCCACTTCCCTGTTGCCCCATCTCTCGGGCTCAGGATAGAGTCTAAGCTCCAGTGCAGCTCAAAGGTCTGCACGGTGTGTCCCCTGTCCACCTCTCTTGTCTCTACCTTCCCACACCACCTCATGTCCCTGAAGTGTCCTCTGGTAGATTACAGCACCTCGCAGTCCGGCCCGCTCACACTGGTGGTGCTTTCTCGCCCCTATACTGCGGTACCGGCCCCGTCCCTTTTATTTTTATTTTTTGCAGAGACAGGTGTCTCGCTTTGTTGCCCAGGGTGGTCTCGAAATCCTGGCCTCAGGCGATCCTTCCACCTCAGCCTCCCAAAGTGCTGGGATTATACTGCGCTCGGCCTTCTTTTGAATTTTTAATATGTTAATTTATTATCTAATAACAACTTTAAGTTTATGGGATCTGAATTCAGACTACCACTGTACCAGGTCTGACGATTAGGATCGTGAACTCAATCCTAGAAAAAGTGCTCCACACCTCATTGCTGAGTGTCACTGCGGTCACCTTCAAAGTACTCCCCTCGGGAAGCACTGCACCGACGCCAGCGCCTAGTTCACCCATCAGAGCAATTTTGGAACTCTTTTTCTGGAATGACCATCAGAACTGTCATCCTTATTTGTTGAGGTCTGATAAGCTCACAAACTTGCCACCGGGCACTTACACTGTACAAATAACTATATCAGAACACCCTCCCTACTCACCTGACCTGGCCCCAACGACTTTTTTTTTCACCCAAAGATAAAGGAAATATTGAAAGGAAGACATTTGATGGCATTCGGGGCTTCAAGAGTCATCTGATGGCCATTCCAGAAAAAGAGTTCCAAAATTGCTTTGACAGGTGGACAAGGTGCAGGCATTGGTGCATAGCTTCCCAAGGGGAGTCCTTCAAAGGTGACCATAGTGATATTCAGCAGTGAGGTATGGAATGCTTTTCCTAGACAAGTTCGCCAACTTAATTGTCAGACCCTGTATGACCTGGAACAAGTTGCTTATTCTTTGTATCTGTTTCCTCACTGGCAAAAAAAAAAAAAAAAAGATTTATATTTGTTTTCACACCTTGTGGGGTTGTGAAAAACCAATGGCTGTATTTCTTTTCTTTCCTTTTTTTTTTTTTGAGTCAGGGGTCTCACTCTGTCACCCAGACTTGGGTACAGACTCACAATCACAGCTCACCGCAGCCTCAAACTCCAAGGCGCAAGTGATCCTCCTGCCTCAGCCTCCAGAGTGACTGAACTACTGAGTACTGTTTCCCTTTTCTAGAACACTCATCTGCCCTTGCAACACCTGGCTCAGAAGCCACTCCCAGGAAACCTTCCAGATGTCCCCTAACTGGCCAGTGTGAGACTTTTCAGGCTGCCGTGAGCGTCATCTGTAACATTTCTCAAGCTGCATTTTAATTGTTTACTAGTCCATTGTTCCTAAGTGATTACATATAAGCCATTTGAAAGAACCGTTTCTTTTCTTTTCTTTTTGTCTCTCACTCTGTCGCCCAGGCTGGAAAGCAGTGGCACCATCACTCACCGCAGCCTCCACCTGCTGGACTCAGGGCGATCCTCCTGCCTCAGCCTCCAGAGTAGCTGGGACTACAGGCAAGCACCACCATGCCCGGCTAATTTTTTAATTTTTGTAGAGACGGTATCTCTCTATGTTGCCCTGGCTGGAGGAACTGTTTCTTCATCTCCAAATCCCTAGTGCCTGGTACAAGGCCTGAGACATAGAAAGTGCCTGATAAGTGTTTGTTGAATGAATTAATGATTTAATTAGCATGACGAATGAATAATCAACTGGGTCTTTTAGCATTTGGCTCCTCAGTTTTTGTCCATCCTGATGGGGTCCTGAAGCACTGCCTGCCCTGAACCTTGCTTATGACTACGTCAGGACTTTTGACCTCCTGCCTCGCCGCTGACCCAGTGACCTCAGTGACACCTCCCATGTCAGAAACCACGTTTCTTGTTCTCCCAGTCTCCGTCCTCCACCCCATTGCACCACCCCCACTTCCCACGACTCTGGTACTGATGACAAGGCTGCCACAGTGACAGCATAAATTACTGATTTGATTACATGCAACAAGCAAGGATGCAAAAGTGAAAGATTTTGATCTAAAAAGCATTGCTTCAAGATGGATTTTAAGAGTTTTCAGCTGGGCTCAGTGGCTCAACCTATAATTCCGCGCTTTGTGAGGCTGAGGTGAGTGGACTGCCTGAGCCTGCGGGTTCGAGACCCGCCTGGGCAACTTGGCGAGACCTCATCTCTACAATAAATCAAAAAAACTAGCCGGGCGTGGTAGCGCACGCCTGTAGTTCCAGTTACTTGGAAGGATCGCCGGAGCCCAGCAGGTGGAGGCTGCGGTGGCCGGGAGCATGCCATTGCACTCCATTCTGGGCAACAGAGTGAGGATCCAACTCAAAATAAAATAAAAAAATAAAGAGTTTTCAAAGTCCTGCTGGGAAGGGAGGGGCACACCTCATCAGTAAGGGTACCTGCATAATCAACAGTTGTATACCTAACCCTGAATACCTAACAGTTGTATACCTAACCCCGCATCTTTATAATAAAAAAGTTTTCAAAGTCATAGTTGAATTGCCAGATGCCAACAAATTTTATAAACTAATTCCACCAGGACCCATCAATTATGGACAAGACTGACTGACATTTTCTTTCTTTCTTTTCTTTTCTTTCTTTCTTTCTTTCTTTCTTTCTTTCTTTCTTTCTTTCTTTCTTTCTTTCTTCTTTTGACTCGGGGTTTCGCTGTCACCCAGGCTGGCGTGCAGTGGCACCATTACAGCTTACCATAGCCTCTACCTCCTGGGCTCAGGCGAGCTTTCTACCTCAGCTTCCTGATAGCTGGGACTGCAGGCACATGCCACCACAACTGGTTAATTTCTTGTAGAGATGGGGTCTCGCCATGTTGCCCAGGCAGATCTCAAACTCCTGGGCTCAAGCAATCCTCCCACCTCGGCTTTCCAAACTGCTGGGATTACAGGCATGAGCCACCGTGCCCAGTCCAGTACCCCCTTTATAATGGCTGTTGTGTTCTTATCTCGAACCTCTTATGGTCTCAGGTTTATTACAAGGTGACCGGTGAGGAGTAACGGTCAGAAGTAATAAATCCCCTGAGAAGGAAAGAGGCTGAATACCTGTAGAAACAGAATTCTCAGTTCTTTTAACCCCCAATAAACAAACACAGTTTAATCTTCAGCAAAGCATTTCCATACCCACCACTGTAGAGAAAACATGATGTTATAAAGCCATTTGTATTTATCCCATGTCAGATTTCCTAATAAAGATTTTTAAAAACTGGATAAAAGTCATTACCAGCCTCTTGTCTTGCAAATGGCAGGGAGAATCTTGTTTTAAACTTTTGGAAAATTCTTGTACCTGCAGTAGAGAAAAGAAAAAAATGCAATCTGTATTTAATGGTATAGTCTGGTGTTTGAATTTGGTTACTTCTATAGTTTGTAACAAGCTTTAAAAGTATTACTTTAGTCTTCAGTCGATCAGCCTGTTCTTTTAACTTCTGGCACATTTGTTGCCCTTGGGATATCTTTTGAAATATGGAAGGAGTTGAGGAAGGGTCTTTCTGAGAGGCTGATGACAGCATAAAGAGCCTTGTTTCAGATTCTAGTCCTGTAGAGGAAAGAATATGTTTTGGCTACCATTCACCTTAGCTTCTTTTTTTTTTAATCAGAGTCTCACTTTTACCCAGGCTGGAGTACAGTAGTGCCATCACGGCTCACTGCCATCTCAACCTTCTGGGCTCAGGTGATCCTTCCACCTCAGCCTCTCAAGTGTCTGGGACTGCAGGCGCACTCTACCATGTCCAGCTAAGTTTTTCATAGTTTGTGGAGCTGAAGTCTTGTTGTGTTGCCCAGGTTCGTCTCAAACTCCTGGACTCAGGTGATCCTCCCACCTTGGCCTCCCAAAGTGCTGGGATTACAGGTGTGAGCCACCCCACCTGACCGTATCTCAACTTTTTACAGTTTTATTAAGCACTGAAAACAGATGGCTAGGACAGTCACCACCACTAGCTATTTTGTAAGAAGTTTTCAAAATATATGCCCGAGTCAAAGAAGTCTTAAAACGTTAGTACCTGTGAGAAGTTCTTGGTGGATATGTGCTGTAGGCTCCGTCTGCACAATGAAAGGATGAGAAAACATTACTGTTGATGTCCGTCAAAGGCACTGTTATTCAGAATGCTCCCAGGAGTCCTGGTCATCCTATAGGCAGCCCAGTGTTGTGGGCAGGAACTGGGAGCATTATGCCGAGACTGAATTCCACTTGGACCCTTATTTACTAGATAACCCAGAAAATTGCCCCTCACTATAAACCTCCAGTTCCTTGGCAGTAAAATTAGGGTGGTAAGTGAACCCACCTCATAGGGCCATTGTAAAGATTAAATGGTAAATATCCTCCTGAGTGTCAGGCCTGTGGTAGTATTTAACAATCCATGTTGTTACTATAGAAGTTGATACTAGCGTGTAGACTGCTCAAACGTTTCTCCTGAAACTAGACTAGAAGCTTGCTGAAGGTAGGGGCCATGTAGGTCTTGTGACCAGATCTGCAGCTGGTGCTCTTATACCAAACACATGGTAGCCATGCTCAAGAACAACACAGTATGTGTTAAGGTCCAATGTGTGGGTCCAAGTAGTGATTGTTTTCTGCTCACCACAGATCAATTGGAAAGGGGTTCAAATTCCAGAGTGATTCACCTTGAAGCTTTTCTCTTTGGTCCTAATACAAAAAGCTCAGAAACACGCGAGTGCCAGAGAGCTGAATGGCAGTGGTCAAAATAGACCGTGTTCATTACAGCTATCTCAAGTGTATGATGGCTACAAAACCTACAGGGTCCTATTCTCTAGCCTGAATTTACAGGGCTGGAAAATATCAGACACATGCCCTCAAACACCCACTGCTAGAAGGGGAAGAGTCTGATATCTCTTCTGCTTCTACAACCCACGAGGGGCTGAGAACTGGGCTCAGCAGGGCTCTTCTTCTGCCAGCAGAATGAGGAACCTGAGACTTCCCAAGACCGCAGGGGCGTGGGTTTCTCCAAGGCTTAGAGAAGCATCCCAGTTATGGCTAGGTGGGCTGTGGGCGCCAGCCAGTGGGGGTGGTGTGCAAGTTCTGCTCAAACTCCTTGGGGCGTTCGGGCGAGGGACAAGGGAGTTGAAGCATGAGGATGGAAATAGAAACAGGCATTAGTACTCAGCCCAAGGCGCCCTCATGTAAGGCTTACAGATTGTACAGTTCTGGCCCAGTGCTAAGAAATTCAATGTTTATTTTGATTATAAAGGTGAATTTACCTTACTTTTTTTTTTTTGAGTCAAGGTCTCACTCTGTCACTCAGGCTGGAGTGCAGTGGCACCATCACGGCTCACCAAAGCCTCGAACTCCTGGGCTCAGGTGATCCTTCTGCCTCAGCCTCCCAAGTAGCTACTGGTATGTGCTGCCATGCCTGGTTAATTTTTTTGATTTTTTGCAGAGACAAGCTCGAACTTCTGGGCTGAAGCAATCCTCCCATCTCAGCCTCCAAAATTCAGGCATGAGCCATGAGCCTGGCCTGAATTTACCTTACTTTTGAACTTTAATAACCAGTGAGATCCTGAGCCTTCAGTTGGGGAAACGGATGAGAGAGGAAAGGGGAACACAGCATATATTAAGCATTAACAAAGCTTTGTACCAAGCAATTACTAATATAAGAAGTTTGAAATCTATTATTCAAGATCTTAATTCACTGGGCGCAGTGGCTCACGCCTATAATCCCAGCACTTTGGGAAGCAGAGGCTGGAGGATCACTTGAGGCCAGGAGTTCAAGACAAGCCTGGGCAACATAGCGAGATCTCATCTCTACAAATAATAAAAAAATTAGCCCTGTGTGGTGTCACGTGCCTGTAGTCCTAGCTACTCGGGAGACTGAGGCAGAAGGATTGCCTGAGCCTAGGAGGTCGAGGCTGAGGTGAACTGTGATCGTGCCACTGCACTCCAGCCTGGGCAACAAAGTGAGACACCAGCTCAAAAAAAAAGATCTTAATTCAATTCAACTTAGCATGAGTAATTAAGGGCATCATCTATGTGAGACATAGGCCAGGCCTCTGGGGGACATTGGACAATAAAAGGATGAGGATGAAACCGCGTCCAGAGCCTTCAAATCCACTGCAAGAAGCAGAGATCTCCAATGCTGTTATTGGAGGCTGAGACAGACGCTCTGATAGAGGTACCGAACAAACAAGGATGGAAAAGTTTGGGCCTTGGGGGTCGGGAAGGTTCTGTGCCCAAGGGGGAACTGAAGAAGGCCATGGGAACGGGCAGATCTTTTGTGAGTGGAGACAGGAGGTGCCATGCCGGGGAAGGCTCAGAGAGTCCCGGTTCTGAGAAGTGGCTTGGGACCAGCCAGATAAGTGGATGACTTCCGGGGAAGGTTCACCAAGTTTAAAAGGCTGGGATGAAGTAAACATTTAAAAAATGAGAGGCCCAAATCCAGCTTGAGAAATTTGGGTTTTATTTTATTGTTATACTTAATATTTTGAGATCAAGGTCTTGGGCTATCACCCAGGCTGGTCTCTAATTCCTGGACTCCAGTGATCCTCCCACCTCAGCCTCCTGAACAACTGGGGATACAGGCATGAGCCACCATGCCCAGAGGATTTTTATTCTCTTACATGTTTTTATCGGCCCAGCTCCTTACTCTGTTGATGAGGACACCCACTGAACTTCTGAGAGGTCAAGACACTCACCCAGGGGGCCCCAGGAGGTTGAATGAAACCTTAGAACTAGAGCCAAGCCCTCTGTGTGCTCCAGAAACCCACACCGAGCAAGATGAGCAGTGGCCTTGACTATGTGTTTACAGGAGACTATTTTCATTTACCTGTATTTGTTGTGAAGTTTCAGTAATATTCCTTTTCTGCTCTTGATGTTGTTTTTCAACACAATTTGACCTAGGCGTGATGTCTAAAATATCTTGGACAATAGCTGATTTATCTCTCAGTTTAGGAGAAAAACTGGCTTGTTGAGCTGATGGGAGTGGTTTATTCATTATGTTATTTTTAGGAATTTTCACTTTGGTAATAACCTTAGACAAATCAGGAAGCTGGTAATGAACTTGACCTTGGCCGTATTTGAGCCCATGGCCTGAACTTGCTTTTTCAGTCTGCTGTTTCCGGGGTGCCTGACCTTGACAACACTTTCGTTTGTCACTTGGACCCTTGATTTTAGTCTGAAAATTTGACTCTTCTAAATCAGAGGAATGTTCTTCTGTCGTAATTGGAGAGCAGCTGGGTTTACTGCTGTCTTCACCATCCCTTTTGGGGTTGAATTGGTCAGTGAGCTCTGAGGTTTGTTCCTTCGACCAAGAATTCTTCACATAACATGAGATAATATTTTTAATAATAGCTGCTTCTTCAAAACTGTCAGCATTTGAGATTTCCGGGAGAGTTTCACAGTCAATGCCTTGACCTCTTAAGAACTGCTCTTTGGAAAGGTGATGGAGTAAGATATCGGAAATGTTTGACCTTGGGGTGTCTCCTTTGTTAGCTAGAGTGTGAAGAGTTGCAGCCTGCTGTTTCTCTTGATCACGTATTTTGCTGACACCATTTTTGGTAACGTCATCCAGGGGCACACCCGTGGCTGTATTTCTGCAAGCCTCACTAGGTGTCGCCTTCTCTTGAGGGCCTGCTCCTGTGGAGATCATTTGACTGGAGACATCAAGGGCACCGTTCTTTGGGGTAAAGTCATCTTCATTGCATATCTTACTTTGGAGGAGAGTCTCATCAGAAAGCACATCCTCCTGTTGCTTATCCGTTGTGCCTTCTGAAAGATCGGCCTCGTCCATGTCTGTGCAGTCAGATCACCCTTGTCTTCTGTTGCCTGGTCTTGTGTTCTTAGTTGTAATCATGGATCTTCTTGTTTACATTGATTGTCTTCAATGAGTGTCCTATTCTGTGTGAAATGAGAACAGCCGTCCTGTTAGATATGTTGGAATAATGTATGGAAACTATGCTTATTCTGATGTTTATTACAACAAAGTGGGTGCTTTTCATTCACTTGTAAACATGAAGGCAAGCACTAACTCATCTGAAATACTATGTCAACATGATCAGTGGTATAAAAGAAGGAGTAGGCCGGGCGTGTTGGCTCATACCTGTAATCCCAGCACTTTGGGAGGCTGAGATAGGAGACTCTTGAGCCCAGGAGTTTAGGACCAGCCCGGGCAGCATAGCAAGACTCCCCTCTACAAAAATACAAAAATTAGCCAGGTGTGGTGGTGCCCTTCCATAGTCCCAGCTACTCAGGAGGTTGAGGCTGCGATTCTGCCACTGCACTCCAGCCTGAGGGACAGAGTGAGACCCTCTCTCAAAAAACAATAATAAAAATACAAAAGTAAAAGCAAATGATAGAAATAAAAGAGAGGGGTGTTAAATTTTTCATTCATTAAATTTTGAGGAAGACATTGGTCTACAGTTAGTGACCACAAACTTATCAGCCTCCCTTAGGAAATACTATTTGGAGGTTGTTCTCCAAAGTAAGAGCTTAGGACCAAGGAAAGAATTGATTTTGTTAAAGTCCCGTGGCTGTGCCTTGTCCACGTATCATGGATGGGCCTCTACATCGTGTGGCACTGGATGCAAGCTCAGCTCAAACTTGACACTCACCTTCTCTGTTCTGGTGCTAGCCTGTCTCTTCAGATGTTCTGGGCCCGTCTCCCAATTTTCCCTTGAATGTCTGAGAGAGCAGAGGACTGACAGAAATACACATATGTTTTTGAACACCTGGAGTCCGGTCCACAGTCAAACATCCATCTCCTAATGAGGACCCAGGCAGGAACCCAGTCAGAGAGATTGCCTGCCCCTGTGTGAGCCCCACCAGCTGCCACGACCCAGAAGGCAGTCCGGTGGCAGCAAAGTATCTTGGGAACACTCCTGAAAATGATCAGAGCAAAATCAGCTGCCATTTGGGCATAAGTCCGTTTTCTCTTTTTTTTGAGTTAGAGTCTCACTCGGTTGCCCAGACTGGAGTGCAGTGGCCACACCTGCAAACTCAACCTGGTGGGCTCCGGCGATCCTTCTGCCTCAGCCTTCCAAATAGCTGGAATCACAGGCGCGCGCTACCACACCCAGCTAGTTTTTGATTTATTGTAGAGACAAGGTCTCGCCAAGTTGCCCAAGTGGGTCTCGAACCCGCAGGCTCAGGCAATCCACTCACCTTGGCCTCCCAAAGTGCTGGGATTACAAGCTGAGCCACCAAGCCTGGCCCATTTTCTCTCTTTAAAGCAAAATTTAAAACACACCGCCCCCTCCTTTTTTTTAAAGTTGGGATCTCATTCTGTTGCTCAGGCTGGAATGCAGTGACATGATCACGGCTCACCACAGCCTCAACCTCCTGAGCTCGGGCAATCTTCCCACCTCAACCTCCCAAGTAGCTGGAACTATAGGTGTGTGCCACGACACCAGGCTAATTTTTTTTTTTAATTTTGGTAGAGATGAGGGCCCACTATTTTGCCTAGACTGGTCATGAACTCCTGGACTCAAGCAATCCTCCCACCTTGGCCTCCCAAAGTGCTGGGATTACAGGCGTGAGCCACCACACTTGGCCTAAAACACCCATTGAGACACACAGATCTCTTCTTGACTTGTGAACTTTTGGGACAATTCCTTAGAAGTGGTAAAGTTCCCTCAAGTTCTAGGTGGAGAAACCGAGGCCCCGTCTCGTCTGGAGCGCCAGCCAGGCCCTGCTGTTCCCAGTCCGGGATGACCACAGTCACTAGCTGGCCTCCCTCACCTGGACAATGATGGACCTGGGTGAGCAGATCTCCGAGGGTCTCTCCCCAACTAAATTTTTATGAGTCTATAAACTTGCCATTTATTAGATAGCCTCAAAAGCTAAAATTGGGCGAAAAAAAATTTAAGCTATGTTCTCCAAGAAAAAAGGAGTACAAACTCAGTGTGGGAGAGACATCTGTGAAACGCTGTACAAAAGTCTTGATTTATAGATGCAAGTTAGTGTCACAGAACCCAAATAAAAAAGATGTTCTGTTTTGAGAGAGAGAACAGCCCTTCAGAATTACTTTAAATTATCCATACACAATAATATTTACTACAAAATGAGGCACATCTTCCTGGACAGAATTACAGGCTGCTCTAACCCAAGTTGAAGAACAAGGAAGATGCTTCCCTGAAAAGAAAAACACACAGTGGGAAAGCAGTGGTCGGGAGAGCTCGATTTGCATTGTGGTTTCTCCACTCATTCTCTGTCATCTGGAAAATCAAATTATCTTTTCTTTTCTTTTTTTTTGAGTTGGAGTCTCACTCTGTTGCCCAGACTGGAGTGCAGTGGCTGCTCCCGGCCACCGCAGCCTCAACCCACTGGGCTCCGGCGATCCTTCCGCCTCAGCCTTCCAAGTAGCTGGAACTACAGGCGTGCGCTACCACGCCCGGCTCATTTTTTTGATTTATTGTAGAGATGAGGTCTCACCAAGTTGCCCAGGCGAGTCGCGAACCCACGGGCTCAGGCAATCCACTCACCTCAGCCTCCCAAAGGCGCAGGATTACAGGCTGAGCCACCGAGCCCGGCAAATTATCTTTTCTTAGTCTTGGTTTCCTCTTCTGAAAAACAGGAATCACAATAACAACACCTGAGATCATACATGTAAAACTCTTGGCATAGAAGTTGGCACAGAGTGAGAATTTAATACATGGTAGTTAAAAAATGAAAAAACAAAACTAATTAGCCGGGTGTGGTGGCACATGCCTGTGGTCCCAGCTACTCAGGAGGCTGAGAGGGAAGGATCGCTTGAGCCCGGGAGGTCAAGGCTGTAGTGAGCCGTGATCGTGCCATACTCCAGCCTTGGCAACAGAGTGATACCCCAACTATAAAAAGAAAAAAGAAGAAACAAAACAAGAAAAAAAATGTCAGTGTTGAAATATCGAAGAAAATGCCCAGGCCCAGTGGGGATATTTGAAGGCTACAATAAAGAATTGTGTAGACATAATCTCTAAAAGTGCTTAAAACTATTTTTAAAATATCTACCTGTAAGTGAATATATTGTTTGTAGGTGAAAAATATCACTAAATAATTTTAAACAAAAAATTGCCTAATTTTTGAGAAAAAAAAGAGAGTATATTTAAATACCCACAGAGAAAAAGAAGACAAATTCTAGCTTTGTGGGACTTTTAATGACCCGAGCTACCGCCCCAAAGTCTTCCTCTTTCCTTTGTATTTTGAGGAGTTTTTTGCCAAATTCCAAGCCCTTCTTAAGAAGTTAAGGAAGAAAGACCCTTTGTTGACCAGACTCCAGTTTCTAAAATATCATTCCATTTAAACCGATTAAATCTGATTTTTTGCTATGACTCAAGAAAAAGAGAGTGACACCATGAAGATAAGCCAGACACCTGAGGAACTTTCTCATCACATTCGGGAAAAAAGCTCCTCTTATTATTATTGTTAGTAATTTGTGTGTGTGTGCATGCAACATAGCAAGAGGATTCTTCTGGAAAAGAACAATTCCTATGCTTAGCATTGTGATGGGCCCTTACAGGTTGCTGGAAGGAACTGGAACATCTTCCCACGTCAAAATCCAACTCAGTCTTGGAATCCAAAGACACATTCAAAGAGATTCCGGTCAGAGCCCAGCAGAATCTTTCTGTAGAATCTAGATTGATTTTCTGAAGTCAGGCAAGTGCACTGGGGCCATGCCTGTGTATGCGGCTCTACTGACCATTATGAGCTCAGCAGCAGCTCACAAATCAGACACTTTGAGCAGACGGAGCCAGGACACCGCAGGACACAGATTCAGCCCGTGAAAACACTTCAGTCCTGGCACTGAGTAGGATGAACAGCAAGGTGATCACCATGCTGACAGCTGTTCCCTGCATGGTTTACTTTATCATAAAGTCTAAATTTGGTGCCGAAGTGCTGGTCTAAGCACACTATCCTGCCTATCTAAGAGAAAAAAGGTAACCATGGTCCGGGTGACGGGGAACCTGACAGACTCCATTAAGCATGTCTATAAGGCCGGTGGTAGTGGCTCATGCCTGTAATCCCAGCACTTTGAGAGGCAGAGGTGGGAAGATTGTTTGAGCCCAGGAGTTCAAGACCAGCCTGGGCAACATAGTGAGACCTCATCTCTAAAAGAAAAAGTCAAAAAATTAACCGGGCGTGATAATGCATGCCTGTAGTCCCAGCTACTTGGAGGCTGAGGTGGGAGGATCACCTGAACCCAGAAGGTCAAGGTTGTAATGAGCTGTGATCATGCCACTGCACTCCAGCCTGGGCAACAGTGTGATCCCGACTCAGAAGGAAAAAAAAATGTCTATAGATGGGAAAACTGAAACTCCTTAATGGAGAGAGGCCAAAGACGGCCGGCAAATCACTGTTTCTGACTGGTGGGTGATATCTATTTTATTCACTAAGTCCACTTAGTGATGATACCATTTGACATATTGAGGACTGTTTTCACCACCAAAGGCGAACCATGGACCCATGTGCCTGTGACAAACTCTCGGTCTCATCCCCAGTGCCTTCTGCTCTGTGCCAGGTAAGCTGGGGAGGGTGTACAGGATCCGGATATAGGGAAGAAAGCAGGCAGTATTTCTCCCTACCCTTCCCTGTCTGCCTGCTCCCTCTAGGATTCTGGTGAACACGACCACATCACACTCGCAGGATCTCCCCGTCACCTCTGAGATCAGTCCTCCTGACTGTGACCATCAGAGTTGGCTGTTGGAGGCAATGATTCCACAATCCAGATTCCTCTTACTCCTTTATATATGTGTCACTTTGAATGTGAATAGATTACAGTTAAAAGCTTTCAGAGCTTGATGCGTCAATATTTTGTAC